ACAGACAGACACACAGACACAGCGACACACAAACAGAGACACACACACACACACACCACTCCTGCCTCCTTTCCCAATGCATAGCTGAGCTCGTCGTCCTGATGATGCTAATGCCAACCGACAGGCGTGTTCAGGGTGCTGTGTGAGTCACCACGACAGGGTTGCATGCCAGCACAAGCAAAATGCCTTCAGGACAAAGCGATCTGTCGCAAAGTCCCGCTCCTGGCAGCTGCACCACTGGGAGACAAGATGGATTCTGTCAAAAAAAGCAGATCTGGATGGCTTCAGGTGTAGAACCCGGAGCTCAGGTCTCAGCAGAGCTGAACTTCTCGCGGACTCCCCGGGTGAAGACGCCGGGACTCTTTGTCTCCACGGCGCTCATGATCTGAGAAGACCGTCAGGGAGTGTCCGCTTTTCTTCGGCTCTCTCCGAGAATTCCTTGGGCCTTCAGCTCTGCTCCACGCCGCGACCGGCGAGCGCCGAAGATCGCGAGCTGCTCCGAGGTGCCGCGGCCCCCCCGGGCGCCCTGGCGAGACTTCTCCCACCATGACTTCCCAGCTGTGCGAGCTTGGACAAACCGCGCCTTGCCACCGCCGTTCTGCGCCTCCTTGTTCATGAAGAACATCAGGGTGCCCCACTCCTGGCACCACAATTAGCCCAAATAGCCTCTGCGCCAGCACCCATGGCCGCCAAGCTGTGTGCTATTGGTCCTCTTCCATGTTGCCCAGTGCCGCACGACGAGCGCCCGTGACATAGCCGATGCACTCGCTTGGCACCTGCGTGTGCTCTACAAGTAGCTTTTATCGTGCACCTTCTGCGCAGCAGCACATTCATTCATCTGGACGCACTGCAAACAGCGGATTGCTCTGCAAAAGGCAAAGAAGGGAGCAACGATGCCAGGAGCCCCACGTCTACCACGGTGCAATCGTCCCTGTCCTCCCAGCCGTTTACATACACCTCGGGACCCAGCAACTCTCAGTAAGCTTAAATGCGACGGTTCTTCACAGTCTTTTCCAAGAAGATGGCTGGACCCTCCAACTGGTCGAAGAGCCACTTCATGTACTCCTAGCACAAGTGACGGGGGGCTGGTCGTGTGTCCTCTGTAAAAAACGAGAGCACCCCAATCCTTGGCTTTCTTACGCAAGTGCTTCTCCCCGGAGAAGAGAGCCACCTTCCGGCATGTCCAGCAAGCCATTGACTCAATTGCAGCAGCTCGGGAGGTCTTGTTAAGATCTCTCAGACAAGCATAGTGCTTTCCTCCCGTCGGGCATATAAACATACAAACACATGCAGAGACATACATGCATGCATGACCCCACAAACATGCGTGAAGCTCTATGTGTGTCGAGTGTCGACCGTATGCGCATGCATGCGTGAGCACGTGCCTTTTGAGCACGTGTGAGTGTGGGGAGTTGAGCATCCACCCATTTGCGTGTATGCGATAGATCGCTTCATAGATATTGATGCGACCTGCACACAGTGAGACACACACACACACACGCTCGTATGCTTGTGGCGAACTGACTTCAGGCTCCACGTGGAGAGGCCAGGCAGGCACGTCAGACTGCACTCTATTGATTGCATTATCGTGCTGCAGACGAGTGAAGTTCGTGCTTGGGTCCGGGGACACTCCGCGGCTTGGTCCCAGCACATGTGCGCCCATATCAACTTCGCCACCCTCCCCCCGCTCCCCCGAACACCGGGGCCGGGACTTCCCACTTGGACTCAGCACATCGCTGTCCCGCTGTGACCCCCGAATGTGCACATGTGTGGCCTTGCGCTAGCCTGTCTCTCGTGTCAGTGCATGCTGCCCCAATGCCTGGCCGACGTACTGCACGACTGCTCCGGAAGCCTTTTCCAGCTTCTTCCTGCCAGAGTTGAGTCTAGGATGCTGGGCGGTCGATGCCACGTCTTTGGGATTGCTGCCTTGTCCCGCCCTGCTTCCCAAGCGCGTAGGACAGCTCGTCGTCTTGGAACGTCATTGTGTCGGTGCCCCATGTACCGTCCTGTAGATGCAGATGAATGCTGTAGTACTTCTAGCGGTACCGGCCGCGGATCACCCCCCCCCCCCCCCCCCAATCCTCTCCCTTGCCCTTGTCGCGGTCGACCACCTGCCACGAGTGTGCTGGGAATGGCTCAATTTTGTTTAAACTAGCAGGGACCATGCGCTCCAGCCTCGTTGCGGATTTTGTCGAAGTAGCCTGGAACCTGCGCCGCTTAAAGGCTCAGAAGCAAACCCTATCTCGGCTCTACGGCCTTGGTCTCCACGGCACTCAGGACCTTGAGCTCGGCACCACGGCGCGCCCGCACCTGCAAGCATCACAGCGGCGCGAGGCTCGAAATTTTCGGGTCGGACTCCCGGCCGTGCCGAAGATCGCGAGCTTTTCGTAATCCTCCAAGGCAGACGACATCATCCGTCCGCACCGCTGTTCTGCTCACCGGCAGCACTGGAGTCCTTTCCACGGCCACGAGAACCATCCACTTCACAGAAGAACATCAA